TGCAAAATGTGATACATGTGATATGATATGAAATACATGGTTACACATACATGTGGTATGTGACAGAAGAGAAAGAACAAGTGATGAGAAATGTATTCATCATAAATGCACATAGTATAGGATACGAGAGTTATAGGTATAGTTGGCATGCCAAGAGTCGAGGGTTCTGTAGTCCTTCGGGACGTAGTGGTCCTACGGGACATATATAGCAGTCCTTCGGGACGAATACTGAACTAATGTTCGGTGCCCCATGAGGGAATTTATACGAGCTGTGGTGACAGCATTTGTGCACAACCTCGATGAACTCACATACCTCTATTCTCAATAATATACATGGGCAATACAATTGAAAGATAAATTAAAGTGAAAGTGGCACAAGAAGGTAAGTGTTACATGTGCTTGACATGCTTATATATGTTATCATGTGATAGATACATGCATGTTGAAATGTCATGATCAAATGATAAGAATGCACATTCATGAATTTGTTGTTAAATGTTTATTTATTGCCTCACTAAGTCTATGACTTAGCGTGTAAGTGATTTACACGTAGGTACCAAGAAACGTGAAGAGCAAGAATAGAAGTAGCAAGGACAGTATTATTACTTGAAGATCAGATCAGAAGTAATCAACAAGTATGTATTTTGGCGTGTATAGAGTGTTGGCATGTAATAAGTCGTTAATTATGAATACTCTGATCAAACTTGTATTTTGTGGTCTCTCTGATGTAAATTAAAGTATTTTGTTTTAAACAAAGTTTTAAATTACCCGGGGTATTTTCTTTGTGTCCAGATTTGAAAAGTCAATGTGACACATCGGACTTGTATTCGGGTCGGGTACGGGTTGGGGTGTTACAGTTAATGGCATCAGAGCTAAGGTTTAGTCGATTCTCGGCATAAACCGGAGTCTTGAGTGTTTTATAAAGTATACATGCCAACAATATAGTGAAAACTTCTGATCTGATGGAATAGTAAGTATGCTGTTGTGCTAATAGAACTATATGATTGTATTTTTATAGATGTCCGGACAAGGTAGTTCTAGAAATGAAGTGGGAGATGATATACCCGCTGAAAGCAGTAATTCACCTGCCCTGGCCAGGCAGAGTGAAGAACAGACACCCTCTGGAGTGCCTGTGAATGATCAAGATGTATTCTTTAGAACTTTAGACGCAGTATTGACGCGTTTTCAACCTCCTGTTACTTCAACTCCAAAAATGAATGTTGCGAAAGAGTTAAAGGGATTAGGAGCTCCAGAGTTTAGAGGGGAAGCCGATGAAGGTCCTGTTACTGCGGACCTTTGGCTTAATGACGTGAAGGTCATGCTTACGGGACTTCATTGTTCCGATGCTGAGAAGTTAGATGGGGTAATTTCCTTGTTGAGAGGACAAGCAAGGATTTGGTGGACCAATGTTACATTGAGGATGACTAACGCCCAAGTAACTTGGTCGTTATTGTTAGAAGAATTCAAACATAAGTACATCGGAGATCAGTTTGTTCGCCAAATGAAGCAAGAGTTCATGAATCTGAAGCAATGGAATCACACCGTATATGAGTACGAGTGTGAATTCAATAAGTTGAGTCGCTTTGCTGCTGAGCTTGTTCCTACTGAGAAGGATGCTTGTGAGTGGTTCGTAGAGGGGTTACGTCCTCGGTTGAAGGAAATGTTGATTGTATTGAATTTATCCTCGTTTCAAGAGGTAGTCAATCGTGCCAAAGCTTTGGAAAGAGCTCAGAATGAGAGATTTGAAAATTCAAGGACTCAAACAATCAAGAGAGCGGGTGCTTCTTCGAGTTCCGCACCGTCAAAAAGAGGCAGAGATGCTGGTTCTCGACCTCAAGCTAGATCGGAGTCAGTAGTATCCTCAGCTAGAGGATCAAATCCGATGAGAGGCAGACAAACTCAATCAGTGGGATCTGGAGCTGGGAGATTTAACCAGAGTCAAGATAGACAATGCCAACATTGTGGAAAGAATCATCCTGGAATATGTAGAAGGATTTCTGGAGCTTGCTTTAGATGTGGGGAGACCGGACATTTTGTTCGGGATTGTCCTAGAGTAGTCGATGAATCTGCGCAGCCAGAGAGGTCTATTTCTACAGGCCAAAGGGGAAGAGGTAGAGGCAGAGGAAGAAATCAGTCAAAGTCCTCTGCTCAACAAGAGATACGTTCCACTGCTCGAGTGTATAATCTCAGGACCAATGAGGATCGGGATGAACCGGAGATTTTAATAGGTACTTTTCTGTTGTTTGATAAACGGGTTATGGTATTGATTGATACGGGTTCTACATATTCATACATTACTAGTAAGTTAGTAAGAGAATTGAACATTCAATTAGAAGCTACTAACAATGAGGTGATAGTGACGAATCCGTTAGGACACAGTGCTCGGGTAAATATGGTGAGTCGAGGGTGTCCCATACGAATTCAGGGAATTGAATTCCCTGCTAATTTGATGGAATTACCATTTGAAGAATTTGAAGTGATACTGGGAATGGATTGGTTATATCGTTATTATGCTAATGTCGATTGTAGACTGAAAAGAGTAACGTTGAGAAGTCCAGAAGAGGTAGAAATTGTGGTGTTTAGTGAAGGGTGGAATCCATTGGCAAATGTGATCTCAGTGATGACGGCAAAGAAGTTACTGCTACAGGGATGTCAAGGTTTTATTGCTAATGTACTTGATGTTAGAACTAAGGAAAAAGGGATTGAAGAAATTCCTATCGTTAGAGAGTTTTCTGATATATTTCCTGCAGAATTACCAGGTTTACCTCCGGACAGAGAGGTAGAATTTCAGATTGAGATAATGCCGGGAACAGCGCCCATTGCCATGTCACCATATAGGATGGCTCCAAAAGAGTTGCAAGAATTAAAGATTCAATTACAAGAATTACTGGACAAAGGTTTTATTAGACCAAGTGTATCACCTTGGGGAGCTCCAGTTCTATTTGTTAAGAAGAAAGATGGATCAATGCGTCTTTGTATCGATTACAGACAACTCAATAAAGTAACCATCAAGAACAAGTATCCACTTCCCCGAATCGACGATTTATTTGATCAATTAAAGGAAGCTTCAGTGTTCTCAAAAATCGATTTGCGTTCGGGTTATCATCAATTAAAGATTCAAGAGAAAGATGTTCCAAAGACGGCGTTTAGAACAAGATATGGTCACTATGAGTTTATAGTGATGCCGTTTGGAGTTACGAATGCACCAGCTGCTTTCATGGATTTAATGAACAGAATTTTTCAACCCTATTTGGATCAGTTCGTGGTGATTTTCATTGATGATATTTTAATATATTCAAAGTCAGAGGAAGAGCATAGTTCTCATTTGAGGATTGTCTTGCAAAATTTACGAGACAAGAAGCTTTATGCTAAATTCTCTAAATGTGAATTCTGGTTGAATGAAGTGACATTCCTTGGACATGTAATTTCTGCAGAAGGAGTTCGAGTGGATCCTCAAAAGATTAAAGCTATTCTGGAGTGGGAAGTTCCAAAGAATGTATCAGAAGTTCGAAGTTTTCTGGGGTTAGCTGGTTATTATCGAAGGTTCGTTAAAAACTTTTCGATTATAGCTTTACCTCTAACTAAGCTGTTGAAAAAGGAAATAAAATTTGTTTGGACTCAAGAATGTCAAGAGAGTTTTGAAAAGTTAAAGAAGATTTTGACAGAAGCTCCAGTGTTAGTCCAACCTGAGTCTAGCAAGGACTTTGTAGTGTATAGTGATGCGTCTCATAATGGCTTGGGATGCATGTTAATGCAAGAAGGCAAGGTGGTGGCCTACGCTTCGAGGCAATTAAAACCTCATGAGAAGAATTATCCGACACACGATTTGGAGATGGCTGCAGTAGTGTTCGCTCTAAAGATCTGGCGTCACTACTTGTATGGTGAAAAATGCTACCTGTATACGGATCACAAAAGTTTAAAGTACTTGATGACTCAGAAAGAGTTGAATTTAAGACAGAGAAGATGGGTGGAATTTCTCAAAGATTATGATGTTGTGATTGATTTCCATCCTGGAAAGGCAAATGTGGTAGCGGATGCCTTAAGCCGAAAAACGTTTGCAGCTTTACGAGCTATGGATGCTAAATTATCATTAAGCGGAGATGGTGCAATTTGTGCAGAATTGACTATCAAACCATCATGGTTAGATCGAATTAAAGGATTGCAGGAAAAAGATGAAAAATGTTCAAAGAAGTTGCAGCAAATAAATAATGGAGAGAGTACAGATTATGAAATCAAGTCTGATGAGAACTTGTATTATCGAGAGAGATTGGTAATTCCGGATGATGATGAATTAAAGAATGATTTGTTAACGGAAGCTCATTGTAGTCCATTGACAATGCATCCGGGAGGGAACAAAATGTATATGGATCTCAAGAGTTGATATTGGTGGCCGGGAATAAAGAAAGACATTACAGAATTCGTATCTAAATGTTTGATTTGTCAGCAAGTTAAGGCTGAGCATCAGGTTCCGTCGGGACTGTTACAATCAATTTCAATTCCTCAATGGAAATGGGAGAATGTAACGATGGATTTTGTCACGGGGTTGCCTTTAACTCCGAACAAAAGAGATTCAATATGGGTGATTGTAGACATGTTAACTAAGTCAGCCCATTTTATTCCGGTACGAATTGATTTTTCTATGGATAAATATGCTGAGTTGTATATTAGAGAGATTATACGGTTACATGGTGTACCTGTTTCCATAATTTCTGATCGGGATCCTAGATTCACGTCACGATTTTGGAAGTCTTTACATGGATCATTGGGCACACGACTGAATTTTAGCACAACATTTCATCCTCAGACAGATGGTCAGTCTGAACGAACTATCCAAATTCTGGAGGATATGCTAAGAGCTTGTGTAATTGAATTCAAAGGATCATGGGAAAGGTATTTGCCACTTGCTGAATTTGCGTATAACAATAGTTATCAGTCAAGCATCAAAATGGCTCCATATGAAGCTTTATATGGAAGAAGATGTCGTACACCCTTGAACTGGTATGAACTTAAGGATCGAGAGGTTATTGGTCTTGAGTTGATTCAGGATACGGAAGAGAAAGTTCAAGTCATTCAGAATAATCTGAAAGCTGCAGCTGATAGACAGAAATCATATGCCGATTTAAAAAGGAAAGAAATTGAGTTTCAAATCGGAGATAAAGTGTTCTTGAAAGTGTCTCCGTGGAAGAAAGTATTGAGATTTGGACGTAAAGGAAAATTGAGTCCTCGGTTCATTGGACCATATGAAATCGTTAAGAGAGTAGGACCAGTGGCATATCAATTGGCTTTGCTACCTGAAATGGAGAAAATCCATAACGTCTTTCATGTCTCCATGCTGAGGAAATATCGATCCGATCCATCTCATATTGTGACTACTGAAGAGATCGAAGTTCAATCAGATTTGACTTATGAGGAAGAACCTGTTCAAATATTGGCTCATGAAGTCAAGCAATTAAGGAACAAGACTATTCCATTAGTCAAAGTGTTATGGAGAAATCACAAGGTGGAAGAAGCTACGTGGGAACGCGAAGAGGACATGAAGATTCAATATCCCCATCTCTTTGAACAATAAAAATTCGAGGACGAATTTTCTTAAGGGGGAGAGATTTGTAACATCCCAAAATACGGGTTAGTGACTAAATTGTAAAATTTTAGAGTTTGGTGATTTAAGTAGGATATTTGTACAGTCCAATGATTTGTTCGGAAATATTTCCTGAAAGTTATTAGTAATTATCAAAGGAATTAAAGGGAAAAATGGTCATTTAGCATGAAAGATATTTTTTATCTCTTTATTAAGAGATAAACGTGAGTTAGGGAAAGAGTTTCTGAAAACTCTTTCTTCTTCCTTTCTTCTTCTCCAACGTGCAGGGCAAAGGTAAGGTTTTTTAAATTGTTGGTTATTTGTTAAATTAAAGATTAGGTTTTGATCATTAGATGATAACTAAGCTTAAGGAAAGCTTAAGTTGTCTTATAATCAAAAGATGAAGAAGTTATAAGAGATTAAAGAAAATGAGTTTTTATATGAAATCATGGAAAAGAGTTGATAAGTTGAATTTAAAGTTAAATTTGACTTGTCATCATCCTAATTAAGGAATATGAAGTGTTAGAATTGTATTTAGAACATATTGAAATTTGAGTATGATTCTTGAATTTCATATGAAGGATAGGATTTTGAAGTTATAGATGATTTTCATGGATATAAGTTGGTTTAAGTGATGGTAGTTGAATTTAATGACATGATAGGGGTTTAAAATAGAAGAATTAAGTGAAGAATTGATGATTTTCGGGGTTAAAATACCAATTTTGGTTAGAGGGAACCGATACCCTATGAAGGGAATCGATTCCCCCTCTTGGACGAAATTTTTCCAGAATGTCCACGGGGTATCGATTCCCCTGGGGGGGGAATCGATTCCCCCCTAAAGGAAAAATGAAATTAGGTTCAATAATCTGGCTTAAGTTGTTAACATCAAGTTTAAGGTTTAGGCTTCTGATAGTTGTTTTGAAATGTTATATTTATGTAGATATTGAGCCTAAACAAGTTCTGGAATAATCAAAGGATTAGAATTGATTCAAATCAAACAAGGCTAAGGTGAGTGCAATTTTTATTGTACTTATACTATTGAACGAACATTGGCTTGCGATGAGCCAGTGATGGAGTTACTACGGTAAGAAGTGACTCCTAAATTGTTATTTGATTTCATGATTTTTATATGTGCATGAATACATGAAATGTGTATAGATTATTATAAATGTTACATGATATACATGCATACATGATTATGCTATGAGACATGACCATGTGAAATGAGAAAAACTATGTGAATATATGAAATGACATATGAATATGCAAAATGTGATACATGTGATATGATATGAAATACATGGTTACACATACATGTGGTATGTGACAGAAGAGAAAGAACAAGTGATGAGAAATGTATTCATCATAAATGCACATAGTATAGGATACGAGAGTTATAGGTATAGTTGGCATGCCAAGAGTCGAGGGTTCTGTAGTCCTTCGGGACGTAGTGGTCCTACGAGACATATATAGCAGTCCTTCGAGACGAATACTGAACTAATGTTCGGTGCCCCATGAGGGAATTTATACGAGCTGTGGTGACAGCATTTGTGCACAACCTCAATGAACTCACATACCTCTATTCTCAATAATATACATGGGCAATACAATTGAAAGATAAATTAAAGTGAAAGTGGCACAAGAAGGTAAGTGTTACATGTGCTTGACATGCTTATATATGTTATTATGTGATAGATACATGCATGTTGAAATGTCATGATCAAATGATAAGAATGCACATTCATGAATTTGTTGTTAAATGTTTATTTATTGCCTCACTAAGTCTATGACTTAGCGTGTAAGTGATTTACACGTAGGTACCAAGAAACGTGAAGAGCAAGAATAGAAATAGCAAGGACATTATTATTACTTGAAGATCAGATCAGAAGTAATCAACAAGTATGTATTTTGGCGTGTATAGAGTGTTGGCATGTAATAAGTCGTTAATTATGAATACTCTGATCAAACTTGTATTTTGTGGTCTCTCTGATGTAAATTAAAGTATTTTGTTTTAAACAAAGTTTTAAATTACCCAGGGTATTTTCTTTAAGTGTCCAGATTTGAAAAGTCAATGTGACACCTCGGACTCGTATTCGGGTCGGGTACGGGTTGGGGTTTTACAGACTGTGTGATTTTACCGACACTTTCTTTGAAGGTTTGGCTGGAGCGCGTGATTTTACTGCAGTTGTGGATTTTCCCTCGGATGTGTTCATAGACACATCTTTAGCCTTGTTTTTCTGATTTGACACCTTAATTAGCTTAACATTCTTCCCCTTCTGCTCAGTAATCCGAGTCCTTGTAGTATCCCTTCGGACGTTATCAACTGTAAGAGATTCCAAACTCTCGTTCTTTCTTATTGCTTCCTCGATCCTTTCAGCCAACAACAAGTCCTTTTTAGCCACCAAACTTGTTACTTTCCCTGAAAAATAAAGATTGTGTTATTTCAATTTGCTGAAAGTAAGATCCTTTACCACTTCAAAGAATAAAATTTGTCACATATTAAGAACTTCTAAACTTGATAAAAATGGCCTTGCCTCTATGTGAAGGAAAATAAGACATGGATGGCATTGAATGTAAAAGACAAAGAAGATATGTCATTAGATATACCTATATATAAGGATTCTGAAAATGAGTTCCCTAAGGGCACTTGTTAAACATTAGGAAAACCCTTACACAAAAGAAGATTCAATGAACAAATTGATCTCCAATGGAAACAGTTTATTGATGATAATACCATGGTAGCTTGGGAAATATGATGCATAACCAAAAAAATTTTTGGTAAATTTCCAATGGTACACTTTACCATCGGTTGAAAGAAGAATTAATAGAATTGCTGAAGTTGATAAAGCATGTTTAAAATTATGTGAATAGAAATAAAACAAGTTATGCATAGACTTGAAATGAAATGGTCACTGACCCTTGGCACCCATTCGTGCAGTTCTTCCAGTGCGATGAAGGTAGTCAATCTAAAAGGCCAAAGAAAAGTAAGACCAGATAGAATCATAAAAAAGGGCGCAGAAAAGAAAAGGATTCGAATTTGAGAGAAGGGCAAACTAAGACTCAAACAATTGATCAAAGATACAATGCTTACAGAGTTTAAGGGGAAATCAAACATGATAACATGATTAACATCCAAGTCCAGTCCTCTAGCAGCCAAGTCGGTGCAAACCAATGTGGGACAATCTCCATCATCACTCTTGAACTTGTTTAGGTTTTCAACCCTGTTTATATGAGAAAATAGCTGGACTATTTACTTTCGACCCACATCAACATACTAGGGGCATTAAATCTAGCACTAGATATTCCATGTGCATCTTGTAATATCTCACCTCTGTTCTGCAGGCACCTCACCATGGTAATTGACAGTAGATATCTGATTTTCGCCAAGAAAATGATCTACAGCACGGCTAGAGTTCAATGTATTACAGAACACCATCACTCTGTTCCCCTTGGCTAAACTAGGCTCGAGAACCTGTCATGACATCACAACTAAACCTAGGTAAGTTGCTGTAATTAGATTGCTAACTAGCTCAATTTGACTGTTAAATATATTCAGCATCCAATTTCACTACAAAAATTAATGTTTGTGAAGAAAATCTTGACAAATTTTGTCAAAATACTAAAAAAACTATTTTTCAGAGAACACGCTGTAGACTTGTTAACATCATTACCGAGATCCTGCCAGATGGGTAAAAGAAAGGTAGGCAAGTCGTAAACAGCAGGATTTTAGTGCCCATAATGTATAGGTTGGCCAAAGGCTTACACTTTGCTTGGTATAAAGGATGGAAAGGAATGAAGATGGAAACATATGTTAATCAAATGGTTAAGATTCATATATGCTTCCGTACTTTTCTTACTTTGTAGCTTAACTATTAGACTAACAAATTTCCATCCTCACCCGTTCCATCCTCAGTACCAAGCCAAACCTTACGATAAAAGCAATAGGCAGATAATTTGAGTTACAAAGCAGCTTCAATGTGACAGATTTCGAAAATCTTAGGATATTATTATTAACCATCTGGAAATTTTCGAGCACAAATGCTCTGCAATAGAATTTCCATCTACCCAGTGCTTGCATAAACTGTTGACAGCACATCTATATTGAGAAGATTACACACGTTACTTCTCCTATGATGCAGATCCTTCTTTTTAAAGCATCCCAATCAAATTTAAAATCAATAAGCAAATAGGTCCAGACTCCAGAGGTTTAAGTTGAAAGTAATGCTTTACTAAAAAAAAAAAGTTGAAAGTAATGCTACCACACCCTAAGCAATTTAGACTAGTAGCAATAGTTCACAAGTAGGCCATGGAGTAATACATGACTACCTTGTAATTGGAAAGGGAGCAACAAATGGCTACTACTATCATATTAAAGCATGAGTATACAACATACAACTAAATGGGAATAGTTGAGAAAGCCCAACACAAATCTAAGACCACTGCAAACTGCATACATAACTGATGTGGGAGATAATGCCACTTAACACTCATATAAAAGGATTGGATTTAATATAGTTGTCAACCTAGATGAGTCCTTGATTTCAAAACTACATTAACTATGATAATTTTAAAATCGTTCTGGTGAATCAAAATTGTAAAAGAAAAATGTAAGAAGGAATCATAATCAAAAGCATAGACTTGGTTTTTGAGGGATCATTATTTCAAAATTATATGTTGAATTCTACCAGATGCACTAGATTACATAGGAGATACCCTCTTTGAAATAGTTTCATGAGTATTAACTATTAACTAAAGGATATCATAGGACTAGACCTGCAGTAATGCTTCCAGCTTGTTTTCAGAACCTGAAAGTTTGATGAAATCATGCCGAGCAGATGCTACTTTCTTGTGCAGCGTTGACGTTCGTAGATGTTCAATTCCTTGAAATTCCTCATCTATCAGTTTCTGCACAGCCTGAAAAAATCACAGATTTTAAAATTTGAAATTATTACTAAATCCATAGCAAATCATTAAAATGT